TCTTTTTTGATGTTCTTATCTCGTTCTTCATTGGTGGCATCTCCCTTGTCCGACATCTGCTGGAGTCTCTCGTCTGTCGCATTAGCCGGGTTAAAATAACTATCCAGATACTCGTGTTTGTTGTATTTCAACTCTTTCCTTATTAAGTCTCTATCTTCCTCACTGTACTTTAGTTTTTTGTCGATCTGATTTAGTTTTGTCATCAGGTCGCCAAGCTCAAGAGTAGCTGTTTCATGATCAGCCGTTGTCTTGTTTTCGGCTGTCGCTTCCGTTCTGGCTTGTTCTTCCTTTTGGTCGGCTTCTGTCGCCTTCGTGCTCACTGTCCCAAATGTTCGCGCTCTTTCAGTTTTTGATTCTTCGGCCGTGTTGTCCTTCGATTTCATTCCAACCATCATCGCCAACTTTTCTGTAAAAGATGTCTTCTTTACTTGGGAGTCGTCTTTCACCGTTTCTCGGGTATTGCCTGTTGTGTCTTCCAACGCGTCTATCGGCGAAAACTCCACGGTTTTTGGATTTTGATCTTCCATATGGGGCATCGGTGTGGATTCCGTTGTGTTCTTCTCTACTTCATCTACGCTCTGGTCTGGTGTCTCTAGATCGATTTCAATTGTGGGCTCCGCCTGTTTGTCTTTAGCACCTTCTCTCGTCTTGTTCTCAGTACTACTCCTCGTGCTGACCATACTAACTGAAAAGTTTTCTTTTGTCTTCTTTTGGCCCATTGATGTCGTTCCGCGCAGCGACGAGTTATATTTCGTGTTTGATCCAGTTGACCTTTTTCCGAGCACCGGTACCCTACTCCGTCTCATTATTTCTATTTGCAATTGCTCCTATTTACAATATTACTATATACACAATTCTATTCTAAGAATAAAATCTTTTGTGGAAAAATTATTAAAAGGAAATATACAACGTGATAAAAACGATGTTCCCAGTTCTCTTTCAAAACCTTTCGAGAAACTTTCTTTATTTGTGGTCACAACCGTACCGGGTTCCGACTAGTCTTGTTCTGTTTTAATTCTGTCTTAAAATACTTATTGTAATTTTACTCCAATTTTTATACCGTCCCAAGACTTCCAGTTACAGTCCCTACCCTTCTTTGTACCGTCCCAGGCTTCTTTCTACTGTCCCAAGAATGTTCGGTACTGTCCCAGTACTTTTTGTCAGTGTCCCAAGACCCCTGTCCCGAGAGTACTATCCCAGGACCACTGTCCCAAAACTGTCCCAAGACTACTGTCCCAAGACTAGTGTCCCAAGACTACTGTCCCAAGACTAGTGTCCCCAGGCTAGTGTCCCAAGACTAGTGTCCCAAGACTACTGTCCCAAGACTAGTGTCCCAAGGCTACTATCCCAAGACCAGTGTCCGAAGGCTACTGTCCCAAGACTACTGTCCCAAGGCTACTGTCCCAAGACCACTTTCCCAAGACTACTGTCCCAAGACCACTGTCCCAAGACCACTGTCCCAAGACCACTGTCCCAGGACCACTGTCCCAAGGCCACTGTCCCAAGACCACTGTCCCAAGACCACTGTCCCAAGACCACTGTCCCAATACCACTATCCCAAGACCACTGTCCCAAGACTGTGCCGTCCCAAGACTGTACTGTCTCAAGGCTGTACTGTCCCAAGACTGTACCAAGACTGCTCTGGTCCAAGACTATCCCAGGACTGCACTGTCCCAAGACTGTCCCCAGACTGCACTGTCCCAAGACTTCTTTGGCACTGTCCCAAGACCTCTCTGGTACTGTCCCAAGACTTCCTTGGCACTGTCCCAAGACAGTTAACAAGTGTTTGAGCGGTGGGACCTCCTTCTTCTTCGTTGTAGGGACTTCTTGATTCACTGTACCTTGTACCACCACTCAAGCTCTAGTAAAAATTTTCCCAAAACCCTCTCTTGATGGCCAAAAGCTGACCCCCCTTTTTTGTTCCAAGCAACTTGAAACCAAAACTTGTGCGCAGGAATCTTGTGATCACCTGTTTGTATAAAAACCAATCGCAAATCCTCACCAAAATGCAACCAGAAATCTAAACAAGTAAAAATAATAAAAACAGAGAGATGAACCCACCTAAAATTCAAAGGTGACAAATGTCTACCTTCTATCGAAAAATGTCTGGTACCTAATTGCCACGCGTTTTCCTCCCCCCAACTAATGATCTTATCGGATCTCTCAAAAATTTTCTATGTCCGTTCCCCCCTACCAATCCGACCAGGGTACCTTGCCTTAACTCGAGTTTAAATTTGGATATCCACCTATTATTACCAACGCGTGTTAATGACTAATGTAACTAAATCAACGATGTCGATTAATTAGTTACTCTAATTTCCCCCCTTTTTACAATTTGCAACCGCCAACCTCTAACCTAACCAGCCCCCCTTCTAACCTCCCCCCTTTTTAGCCCCCCTTCTTAAGCCTAAAATTACCTTAAGCGCCGGGTGCTAAACCTCTCAAGAGAAAACCGTAGACCTGTCTCCAGGCCTGCTCAAGTAAAAACGTTCCTCAAAACCGGGGGATTTCGCTTATCCAATTTTACACTTATCTCCTATAATGTAATGTGGATTTTAACGATACCCGTTCTGCCCAACTTGAGAACTCGAGAACTGCCAAATCCTTCTTGGCTACTTTCCCAATCGGCTGGTCACCTCTTCCAGTCAAGTCTCCTATTGGTTCAGCTCAAGTGCTCCTGAACCACTTTCCCTCTCGGCTGGTCACCTCTTCCAGTCAAGTCTCCTTGTTGTCCAGCTAAGTTCCAAGCTATCTGAAAACCCTTGACAACGCCCCACACTCGGGCATTTTATTGAGGTTACTGGGTTAAATTGCTATGTTGATCGAAACGATCGAACTTGTAAAACAGTATGGGTATACTATTTAATTAATATAAAGGTTTGATCCAACTAATCTGGTGTCAAAGTCACTGTCTTTTTTCGTTTTATGGTTTTTGTTCCTTTTTCTATTCTTTTTTAATTTTTGTTTCGCTTTTTGTCTTTTTGCTCGTGTTTTTGTCCCCCTAGTTGCCCCTTTTTACTCGGTTAGCTAAGCCACCGGTACTCTAGAATGGGCATGCAGCCCGAAGCTGTCTCAAGTGGGTTCGACTCCGTAGTCTCGATGTCGTAAACACCCAGGAGCGCCATAAAAACACTATGTAACATTCGTCTACTGTAGTCACACATGAGGCTTAAGAAAAATAGGCCCTATAACCATTGGCTCAAGAGTCAAGGACACTATATCTTGTGTTTTTCTACCTCAAATCAGTCGGAGCCAATTTGGTTCGCTTGTGACATGAGACTACAACCCGTTACAGCTTAAAGGCTACTACCAAAATATCCCCCCACTCTAGAAATAAGAACGTCCCCATACTTAGGTCTCTGGATACCCAAAATACATGAACGCCGTTAAAAACCGGGTCGGAACAATCCGTTAAGTTACTTTTTATTAGACAGTGGAACTTTGATCCATTTCAGATGGATCAACCTTAAACTCGCCTTACCTCAACATAACAATCATAAAACACACTCTAGAAATTTAAATTGGGTACTCACATCGTAGCACGCTCAAGAACTGGGAGTAATTAAGTTGGTAAGCAACTCGAGAATTAAATAATATAACTAAATGAAATTAATGTTTATCAGTTTCAATAACAGGAACAAGTTTGAACTTTAGAGTATAGTTACTCGTGAACCATTGGGACACTCAAGCTGTCCACCTTTCCATCGAAGGTTCACTCTAGTCCAGTTTGAATAATAGTCCAGTCGAGCAATAATAGTCCAGTTCTCGGGAATATGCTTCCTTCTGTTTCAGATAGGACAGCTCTACTCTAGTTTTATTGTGACGGAAATCGCGAATGGCAATTTCCTACTGCTTTATCTGGCAACTTTCCCGCGATGGTTACTCGATCGTTCTGATTTCTCTTTTTCGGTTTTCAGTTATCGCGAGAAAATCGTGCATGACAGGCTCCATTCGAATTTTTGAAAAATCAAATTTCACTCCAAAATTAAGCGTTCTTGTTTTTCTCAAGGTCAAACTTCCAAATATGACCGACTGGCACACTTAGACAAAAATTTTTGATAGTTATCAGTTGAAAAAGGAGCAGTTTTGTCATCCGAAGCAACAAGCCTTATTCCTCGCTTTACATTTCCTTCATCGAGCTTACTACTTATTAGCTTTATTCTCTGCTCGAGGTCACTCAGAGGTGGGCTTGAAATTTGGGGATAGAGTTTTGGAAGTCCATTGCTCGAATTTTTTTACTTATCAAAGAGCTCATGCTTGTGGTCTGTTTGCGTCCACATCTTTTCGGTTGCTCCAAAAAAACAAGAACAATGTTAAAAAAAAATAGCCATTTTGTAACATCTACATTGTAGACGATGTCATTTATTTTGTCCGACAGTCTTTCCGCCAAGGGAACACGCGAGTCTTTTGGTACTCTCTTGAGTACTCGGACATTTGAGATGGCTGTATTAACATAATTGTCTAGCACTAAATCATTACCTATTGTTGCTTTATTAACAGATTTTACATCAACACATAAAGGACACTAAAACCATTGGTTTTCTTAGAGTCGCCAAGAGAAATATTTACACAACTGATATGATACCAACTAGAACAACGATCACATCTAATCCAATTTATCAGTCCTGAAGGTTTCAAGCAATCTTTGCTTGTACATTCTTTGTTGTTTTTCCTCATCTTGACGCAGCATAAAGGTAAAAAAATGGTTTTTACTGGACTGAACTAACCCATGATAAGCGGCTAGTAGGATTTTTATAAATAAGCAAATAAAAAATTAATAAAAGACAATTAAATTAATTTAATTTTTAAAATCGAGTTAGAAAAATCAAAAACAAGGAACAATCTCACCCGAGCTCAGTAGGTCCAGCGTTGCACCACCAGACTCTTCAAGCCAGTTCCAGTTTCCAACCTCTCCACAGAAAGCCATTTGACAGACCTGTCTCTAAAATCCCTCAGAGTGCGCTCCACAAACAGGCACAAACATCAAACATAACAAATCTATTTAATAAGTTTATCTTAAAAATTAGGCTAAAAGTTGTGCTAAAATCACATCAATTATGCAGTTAGGCTAAAAAAATTACAACAAGATCACAACAATTAGGCTAAAACAAAGTTACCTAAATTCGACCCGTTTTTCACCGTCTTGACCTAGCCAGTTGATTTTCTGGTCTTTATAGGGCTAAGTAAAAGCTACCAATTTTAGGCCATCAGTAAAACGACTATTGATCAGCTTTCGTTTGCATGCGAAGATAATGACATAGCTGGATCTCGGATCCCCAGACTACATGACTGCCATTGAAAACACGGCTCGAAAATCCTATTTTACTATGTTTTTAGTGACAGTTATATACTAAATCCATTGAAGATGGATTGACTCTTTCCTCTTTCTAGCTACTCAAATTCTGAAATACCAAGCAAAACTGGAGTTAATTCAAATGTTCAGGCCATTAAAGTAGCTAAAAAGTCAGTTTATCACAGTCTCTCAGCATATATCAGTTTCCGGGCACCGGGTCTCCAATTCCGTGCTTCTCTAAAAATAAAGTCGTTGTCTCCTCAATTTCCCGGATTTCGGTACCGGGAGGGTACTGTTCCGCTCCGGATGCTCCACTGAAGCCTTCTTTTGTGAGATCTCTTCCTACTAAGTTTCTTATCGTGTCTTGTTACCACGATACGACGTCTCGTTATTCTCATGTTTTTCATCGACCGTTTTTCGTTCTGTATCTCCGGTTGTGTGTGTGACATTCGACCAGAATTTATTTTGTGACAGCTGAGTGGGAAAATTGGCGGTTTTAGCAAATTATCTCTTGAAAAAAAAGACACGTCACGACGTCAAAATTTTGTGAAAACTGAAAACTGCAAAAAGAAACAGAACAACAGATTGAGAAAAACGGTGAACGACAACTGTGAGAGACAGATCGAAATATAAATAGAAAACGACTATCAGACCATTCCGAAATGTAACGACTGTGCCGCTACAATCGTTACAACACGTATCCCGAGAACCAGGAAGGGTATTGGGACGACGTGTCCAGCCTTCCGAGAAGAGATAAGAGTGTTATTTGCCCGGATTGCAGAATCCGGAGGGGTCTCGGGAGAAACCGGTATTTCTCTGTTTTATTAACTTTTAGCTTCTGGTCATGTCCTAAATTGAATTTATAACATTTAAATTCGTTTTCAGATTATGAGAAGCTATGAGTTAAGGGAAAGGGTTGATCCATCTTTGATGGAGTTGATGATTTTTATCTACTGAACAAAAATAAAAGTAATATGATAAATATGCAGTAGCGCTGTTTTTAGGAGTGAACTCGTGGTCTGGGGATACTGAGACCCAGCCATGAGCTCACTATTTCTGCATTTAATTAAGTTAATTAGATCGTTCTGATCGAAGCCGGAATTAGTAACGTTTTTGTCGACCCAATGTTAGAAAGACCACCAAAAGAACTAGCTTTGCCAGAGACGGTGGAAAGCATGCAGAGCTGTGTTTAGATGCTAGCCAGTCGTTTTAGAACATAACTTTATTTTCCGTCGATATGTACTTACGGGCGATTGCTACATTGATGTTTTTATGGCGCTCCTGGGTGTTATTCTTTTTAACATCATGACCGGCAGAACCATTAACCAGCACTTCGTGCCGAGCGGATGCTCTAAATAAGGCCCTTAGCACAGTGGCGGAAGGGTAGTTTGGATTGCTGAAGCCTTTCGGATTCCCGAAACTAGCTTTTCAACCTAGTTAAGACCGAAAATTCACGTACCAGGAAGGTTGGGGGGAATGGTCGTCCCGTCGTTCCCTGAGAGGTTTGTGACAAAATACTTAAAAAAATACAAGAAACCAAACAAAAAATAGTGAGGTAAAAACAAAGAAAAAACAAAAAACATGAAAAATAACCAAAAAAAAAACAAAAACCGTAAAAAAAAATATAAAATCAGTAGAAATCATCTCCCCAGACGAGATTTGATCCGACCCTCGCGTTGGTTGTTGTTAGATATAGTGTTGTTACAGGCATTTATATCAGTCAGGATTGTTACGATGAAAATTGTGGCCCGTTACTGGTGCTTGTACTGTAGAGTTATTTGAGTATTTAAGCATGTTAATGCTAATAGGCGCTCCATCCGGAAGGGTCTCGGCATTAGAGCAGAACTGATCCGGCAAGCAAGGCAAGGAGCAACAAGAGAGGGCTCAAGGACAAGAACAATCAACTATTGGGAATCGTTAACATGTTTTGTATCCCTTTTGGTACAGAAATTAAGATACCAAGCTGTGGGGGGCTCGACAGTGACTGCACTGAAGTGACCCTCCACCGAGTTGCAAATTTCCGAGTTAAGCACCATAATTCGGATATTGAACAAACCTGGAGCGGTATAATATTATTAGTATTACTATTTATACAGCCTATAGTCATGATCCTATAACGTTTTTCAGTGAAAAACACAGTAAGCAGACCTGTTTTTAAATTTTGAAATTTTGAACCCCCACAATTCGCGATTTTTGAGTTATCGTTTTTTTTGAAACGGAAAAAAAGTGCAAAATTGTAACTACTAGTATGATAGGTGGAACCGTTTAACTTTAATTCGGAAATGGTTGGAACTAATCGGGTATCGAAAACCGAATCTTCTTGATTTTTGAAAGAACGAAACGCTACAAAATAAGAAACTTTTTTGAAATTTGTGCGCTAGGACAATAAAATTTGTTGTTCGGACAACTTCAACTAGTGAATCGACAGGTTTGGAAACCCGTTTGCCAATAAACTTCTGGGTTACAGTGAAATCGAATTTAAAGTGTTTGATTTAGTGGATTCGTCAAACGGAAGGGTCCAAATATCATTGTTTTTGGCGAAGTTTTTCAGCTGGAACGTTTTAGATTGGGTCTTTTGCATTGAATTAGAAGAGTATAGGCCTTCCGAGCTCGGATCAATAATTTTTAGGTCAAAAAGATAAGAATTGCGAAAAAATTTGAGCGGAACCTAAAAGTGAGAAAGTTTTTGAACCTTAGAAAAAAGACGTTTTGGTTAATAACTTTGGAACTACTGGAAAGATTCAGTTGATCTTAGTACCATTAGATCAGAAATTAGCTGCTCTTACTCATAGAGCTATTATCAAAAAGCAAGCATATGAAATTTTTAATATTGTTTTTATCAAAATCACCTTTTTGTGAAGGTAGACCCTTCACGTTTGTAAAATTTTTTCTGGAAAGCCCTTATACCCATACCAAAGGGTAGTAACGGTTGAATAAGGCAATTTTACGGTGTTCTAGACAAAAGGAAGGGCTAAAAAACCCAGAAAACGACATTCAGTTCAAGAGTAAGCTAGTTATAAGACCCTTCACAGTTGAGGGGATTTGTCAAATAAGCAGCTTAGCTTCAATCCGGAAGGGTCTAAGGCCGGAATACGCCCTTTCTAAACATTTCATATAGCATAATAGACTCACGGACCGTATCGGTGGGGTCTCGGATGTAAATTTTGAAGTCCCGCAAAAGCCATTTTTACAAACCCGGAGGGTCCCAATCCGGAATGGTCCCATTTTCATCAATCCGGAAGGGTCCCTTTTTCACCAATCCGGAGGGTTCCCAATCCGGAAGGGTTACATTTTCACCAATTCGAAAGCGTCTTAATTTTACCAATCCGGAATGTCCTATTTATTTAATCCGAAAGGGTTCCAATTTTGCCAATCAGGAGGGGTCCTAATTTTGCTAATCCGGAAGGGTCCTAGTTTTGCCAATCCGGAAGGGTCCTAGATTTGCCAATCCGGAAGGGTCCTAATTTTGCCAATCCGGAAGGGTCCTATTTTCGCCAATCCGGAAGGATCCTAATTTTGCCAATCCGGAAGGGTTATAGTTTTGCCAATCCGGAAGGGTCCTATTTCTGCCAATCCGGAGGGGTCCTAATTTCGCCAATCCAGAAGGGTCCTAGTTTTGCCAATCCGGAAGGGTTCTAATTTTGCTAATCCGGAAGGGTCCTAGTTTTGCCAATCCGGAAGGGTCCTAGATTTGCCAATCCGGAAGTTTCCTAATTTTGCCAATCCGGAAGGGTCCTATTTTCGCCAATCCGGAAGGATCCTAATTTTGCCAATCCGGAAGGGTTATAGTTTTGCCAATCCGGAAGGGTCCTATTTCTGCCAATCCGCAAGGGTCCTAATTTCGCCAATCCAGAAGGGTCCTAGTTTTGCCAATCCGGAAGGGTTCTAATTTTGCCAATCCGGAAGGATCCTAATTTTGCCAACCCGGAAGGGTGAGTTTTTGTCAATACTTAAGTAGACAAAAGAAAAGTTAAATTTTGAAAAGTATTAGGTTATTAGGAGTCAGGCTAGAAACCAGTGACTGCACTGGTAACTTGCCTTTAAAGAAGACCATATTAAAAGAAAACAGGTGTAAACCCGGATATTCGCGACATTAAACTTTATTGAAAACAGAGTTCGACACTAATTTGTGTGGATTAAAATCCAGATTAAATTTTGGAAAAGTGATTGCCTTGAGGATTTTAGTAGGTCTAGCTCGGGCAATCCGAAGGCAGATAGGTAACACAGGACTCAGTAGGTGCAATAGAAGCCATCTTGAGAAAATTATTGCCTTCAAGTTTTGTCTGTTTAATGCGGCACTGAACAAGGAAAGCCCTTTCTTTAGACACAAGTTTGAATTTTGTATTGCGACTGACTAAAGTAAAAAACACATATTTTTTTTGAAAATATTTTTATCTTCCTTCGTTTTTGGTTTTAAATCCATAATATTTGTTCTTGATTGGGTAGTGAATACACTATCTTTTAAATATATTGATATCATCAAACTGTGCTAGCTTCATATCTTACAACCAACAATCGATTAGTGTGAATAAATTGTATATACGCTGTACTGTGATAACATACAAGGATTTGTGGTCACTATTCAAGTGAAACTTTTGGATTTTACTGTGTTGTGTTATTATTATAACTAGTCAAATAATAAGAACATTAGCAACCTAATTGAGTGTACAGGCAGTCAGAAGTGATAAGTCGAAAATGAGTCGAGACAAGTCAAGAATACCTA